CTATGGCACAGCTCTGGGTTCAAGTTCTTAAGTCAAATTGCTTTTTTCTCTGATCCCATGACATCCTGACCTCATGTCTACTGTTTGTGACTCTGTACATATCTTTCACGCATCCTAGACACATTCAAAAGTGCTTTTATGTTTGGTCTGTCAGTCAGATGATATGTATCATTGAAAGCCATTACCTCAACAGGTGTTCAATCAGATGGATCTAATGTCTAACTGGAGTTGCTTTGTCTGAGATTCTCTGGCTAACAAAAGGGGAGCCATTATTACTTACATGTGAAAGGAACTTGTGCTGTGCACAGTAAGTAGGCCAACTTGTTTAAGAACTCCACCAATGTGCCTGAAGTGGATTTTTAGTACAACCCAGTAGACATTAGAAAGGTCCTCTGCTCTGTCCCTTTTGTTTAACCCTTTTGCAATAAATCTCTTTTCAGATATGCATGTGGATTAGGTTATTAGCTTCATTTCTTTGACCCTCTGTTACAATCCCTTGCCTTTGGTTTACTGGGAAAGTGAGGCATAATCATAATACCAAAGATATGTCTACGAGGGATTATTTTATTTTGTTTTTAATGTGGTGTTGTGGTTTTTTGAAGAGTCCTTTATACTTGGGAATTGGAACTTATTGAGGCTGGCAAAAATGGCACCTCTAGTTATGAATAGCTCCCATGTGTACCAATAATTCCCTGATGTAACTTGACATACAACAAGGTCTACTCCCTTTACCTTTCAACTCTGACTGATAAAATTCAAGGATGGATGATGGGAGCTGTTCACCAGAGATTCAAACTACACAGCCTCTCTACCACTCTTTGCCCATTAGGGCCATGACCAAATCCTTCCTCCTTTCAATCAAAACTGCTACTGCTCCATTGCTGTATCTAGCCCCAATTCCCAGTTCAATGCTGCCTTAGAGGCTTCTGCAGTTCCAGAGACTGGAGAGGAACATTCATAAAAAGATGTATTGGGAAAGGTCAGACTGTACATTTTCTGAGCATTATGTTCATTCTGAAGAATAATGGTTTCATTTAGATTACTGAGGTTTTGCAGTCTTATCACTTATTTTAAAATATGAATTTGACAGGGAAGAGCCATTTGTCAGAGTATGGTAAATATGTTTATTTCCATTCTCCTAAGGATTTGAGGGATTGAAAAGCTGTACTGCTTTTGCTGTGGCTTTTCTATTGAATTTTAATTATAAAATTAAAACAAATACAAATTGATAATACATACCCCACAAAACAAACACTCCACTCCAAATTAGGTTTGGGGTTCTTCTATATATCTTATAATCGCAGCAAGTTAGGCAAAGACAGATAGAAATTTGAATGAAATGTTTCATCTTGCATAACAATGGAAATTAGAGTCTAGTCAAATATAAATAATTCTAACCAACTTTCCATGCCTTGGTCTATTAACCAATATTGGGTTTATATATTATAATCCATAAACTGCTTCCACATATCTAAATTTCCTTTCTTTCTAAAGGGATCATTCTTATAGATTTGTTTTAGCCAAGCTCTCACAGTTCTGAAAAAACAAAGGCCAGCACTGCGTCTGATTTAATTCCATTGACTTTGGTGAAGTTTATGAGTTAAATCCTGGCTCCTATTGAAGTTATTGGTAGTTTTGCCATTGACTTCAGTGGGGCCAGAATTTTATCCGATCTATTTCAGGGTTTTATATATAGCCTATGAGCATCATATGTAAGGTTCTGATTCAGTAAAGCACTTAAGCATGTGCTTAACTTTTAGCATGTGCTTAAGTCCATCCCCATTAGAGCAGTGTGAATAACTGATTTTTCATTTCTCTGGCCATATCAAAAGATCAAAAAGAAATTCCTTTGAGTTGACTAAAACAAATTGTTTTTGAAATTTTGGGGGAACCAAAAGTAAAAAATCCATTCTTTTCAGGGCAAACAAAAAAGCTTTGTTTTGTTTAAGCTTTATTAAACATTTTCTAAAATTTAAATTGAAGCGATTTTCAAAACAGTCATTTTCTAATTGAAAAACTGAAATATTTAAAAAATGTTGAAGTGAATTTTTTTTTCTTTTTTCTTTCTTTGAGGTTTTTTACTGAAACAGTTGTGGGTGGATTTGACACAAATTTGCAAAATGTTTTTGTGAGACCAAATTGGCATTTTTCTGATGGAAAAAATGTCGCCTCCCTCTAATCCCTGTTCAGTGATGCATAAATCCCATTGATGTTCAGAATCTCAGCCATGTTGATTTTAAAATGGTTTGTTTGTGTGATATTTGCTTTCTCTCCCTTTCAGCCAACACATCAAGGCAATGAGCAAATATTTTCATTGTCCCTCTATAACATGTCTATCTTCCAGCCTTCTTTTCACAACACTGCTAAAACTCTTGTCCAAGCGCTCATCATCTCCTACCTTGATTAGTGCAACTTGTACCTCCCTAACATTTGCATTACCTGACTCTGGTCCAGTCAAAACACTACCCTCTATATTATTTTCCTTGCCTGTCATTCTGACTGTCACTACATGCCATCTTAAATCCCATTGCTGTTTCCCCTATTTTCAGCGCATCAAATTCTAGCTTCTTGTCCTCATCTTCAAAGCCCTTCAGTACCCTGCCCTGTCCTATTTATCCATGCTTCTATTATATTGATACCACTGCTCTTTCCACCCAGCCAGCTTGTACACTTCTGCAAACATCTCCATGGAATCATAGAGACCTCAATAGGTCATCTAGTCCAGTGCCCTGCACTGAGGCAAGACTAAGTATTATCTAAATCATCTCTAGCAGTTGTTTGTCTAACCTGTTCTTAAAAACCTCCAATGATGGGGATCCCACAGCTTCTCTAGGTAATTTGTCCCAGTGTTTAACTCTTCTTACAGTTAGGAAGTTTTTCCTAATATTTAACCTAAATCTCCCTCGCTGCAATTTAAGCACATTACTTCTTGTCCTGTCCTCAGTGGATAAGGAGAACAATGTATCACCCTCCTCTTTATATCAGCCTTTTATGTACTTGAAGACTGTTATCATGTCCCCTGCTCAGTCTTCTAGTCTCCAGACTAAACAAACCCAATGTTTCCAATCTTTTCTCGTTGGTCATGTTTTCTAGATCTTTAATCATTTTTATTGCTCTCCTCTGGACTTTCTCCAGTTTGTCCACATCTTTCCTGAAGCGTGGTGCCCATAACTGGACACAATACTCCAGTTAATGCCTTATCAGTGCTGAGTAGAATGGAAGAACATCCCTCGGCCCACGCCGCTTCCCACAGCCCCCATTGGCCTGGAACGGTGAACCACGGCCAGTGGGAGCTGCGATCGGCCGAACCTATGGACGCTGCAGGTGAACAAACTGTCCCAGCCCGCCAGCGGATTTCCCTGTTGGGCCGCGTGCCAAAGGTTGCCGATCCCTGCTCTATGCCATTATCCATGCCTTCTTTCATGTTGGCCATATGAATGGACGGTCCTCTCTGAACCAATCTATAAACTCACTCTCTTCTCAAGACCTACTATTACTGCACTGTCTACAAGAAACTACCAGATTTGCAGCCTGTGCTTACAGATAACTAAATAACTATGCAAAGTGCAAATAAATGGAGAATCAAGCCTGGAGACTCAGAAAATCACTGTCTCCTGTCTTTTGGCACCTGGTAGTATTTGGCATATATTCAGTCCTTGAAGGAGACTTTTAAAAGAAAAATCATGGGTAACCCTGAAAATCAGGGAGGGGTAGGAAGTATGAAAGAGGTCACAGAGATTTGCTTATTTGAAGACTGACACACTTGAAACCTCGATATTCAGATTGCTTGGCACTTTATTTTATTCTGTTGTCTTCTAATCAGGGTTTTATACCCTGCCCATCACCATAGAATTTGGGCATTTATTTGAGATTTGCAAAACACTTCACAAAATTAAGTGGGCTTTGTTACACCCAAATTCTGGATGGTATTTTACGGTTAGATCAACTGTGATACACAAAGTGACTTGCCTAAAACATCACAGAGATCAATGACAGAACTAGAAGTAAAATCCAGGAGTCCTGACTCCGAGCTCCTGCACTAACCATTAGATGACATATTGTCTATAAATATATGATTAAAAGAGTATTATAGTGCATGTCTCTACTGAAGAAAAAAAACCCTCCTGGAAACCATTTAAGAACTCCATGGTGACATTTTTTTTTAAATTACAAGTCAAGATGAATTACCTGAAATCTTTATCAGATCTGTTTTCATTCCTAAAACCATGACTTGTCCAAAATAAAATATTTAGTGGACTGAAAAATGAAGCCTTGTTTGTCTCAGTCTTGTGTATGGGAAACCTACAAACTATGATCAAGTAGAAAAACACAGTTGCCCAATCTGACATTAAACCCAGGGTGAAGTTCTAGAATGCTACCAGATGCCACTTAATCTCCCATTCTAATTACAAAAAGGCTACAGTGCTATATGTATTTAGTGTCTTCTCTCTCTTTCTTCCTTCCTCCATCTTCAGCTTCTCACCATAACAAAGATGAGACCAACCTAGGACCAAAGAATAAGAGGCACATGTGCTTATGACCAAAACAATTTTCTATCCCAAAATTCAATCAAGGTTCTTTTAATCAGGACATAAATCTTTCAGACACACAGCACAAAACTTACAGCAAACCTGACTGCCACTGCTTTTTTTCCCGGTCATTCTGCAATTACAGCCTATCAGTGAGCGGTGACTGGGAAAGAGGCAACAAAGAAGAGGAGAGAGCCTGTAAAAGCAGTTTTAAACATGATGGGCTTGGTATTTTTTGCTTGTCTCAGTCTGTGATTTCAATCCTTTAGGGGATGCAATGAAATGGAATTGGGCAATGCCAATCAATCAAGTTAAATTCACTTTTAAGGGGTATTCTATGCAGGCAACATTAAGAACTGAATCCTTTCTACTTGCAAAAAGGGGTCCGCAGTTTGTTTTTATTTAATGAAAGCAGAAAAACAGTAAAATGTCAGTCAATAAAAAGAGTGTTATAAATTCCCTCTCTTTTAGGTGAGCCAGAGAGAAAGTGTATTGGGGAGGCATTGATCTATTCTCGATCAATCTTTGCAATAAAGCCATGCATTTTTTCAAACTAGCAGGTAGGTGGGTTTGTCTGTGAATGTGAGCATAAAATACCAGACTGCAATCTACATCTACATCTATTTAGGGCTGGAATTTTTGACACCCCAGCACCAGCTCCAGCTGTTCTAACCAGCACATTGGGACAGCTCCACCAATTCCTTTACCCCTCTTTATATGCTTTCAATTCATCTGATCCACATTGTGAGTAATGAATGGTTGTGACATCATCTTCTTACCCTAGCACATCCAGGCTAAAGGTCTGGTAACTCATAAGTGGAAGTTCATTAGTCCCCCTTACTGGCCTGAATAAATGTACAGTCCAAGCCACAATCCAGTTGAAAATAGTATTTCCTTTCATTTATTCTAGTAGTACTTGTCAGTAATTTCTTGTTGTGATTCCCCTCATACTTTGCTTTCACTAGGAAGCTCTGATCAACTTTCACTATAGCCTTCATGATTTTAAATACTTCCATCAAGTTTCCTCCAACTCTTTTCTAAAAGAAGTCCTGTTGATGTAATACAATGATTTCCTCTCTATAGGTATACACAGGTTTCATCTGCTCTGGTGGTTCCTGTACATGGTGCTGATTAGATTTCTTGGCTTCTCTGTGGCCTAGTTTTCAGCAGCTGTTTGAAGTTTACCCATCATTATGAATTCAAATAGGATAAGAAGAAATGTCTAGGTTTGCAAAGCAGCATTATGAAGTCATATGGGCCAACAGCTGTCACTTATACCTTGGAGATGCTCACATTAATTTTTGCTGTGCAACTCACGGCTGTTTTAAATATTTTACTTTTCACAGATCAATGGAATACTGTCCCCAATTTTCTTTGCAGCATCAAGCAGATAATTCATCTCCATCCATTAACAGTGGAGTGCACTGATGTCCTAAGACTTTAGAGAGTTTTATAGGAATAATATAAGCTCATCCTTTTTCCCCCTGCAAAGCAATAAACACTTTTTGCACTGTAAAGTGTGATAATAGCCAAGAAACATAATGCCAAGGACACTAGAGGCAGAATCAATATCAGTGCCATCTAAATGAATATCTCAGTCATTAGTATGTGCCCAGTTTCGTGCACTGTTTTGACTAGGGATTTAAAAAAGGCATAGGTGCCTATTTGGAAATAATTATGGCCCAATATGTGCAGTATATGTCCGCTGTTCAACCTTTTGTGTTGGTACACATAATGGGGCCCCTCAAAGAGACTTCTTTGTGATAGCTATCTAGCCATACCCTCCTGAATGGGCACTTCTGTTTTGCTTTGTAAGAGGGAATCCATGAGAGCTGCTGGGCATCCACAAATACTACTTTTCTATTACATGTTCTTTTGTAGCTGAGATGTTTCCATATTTGGAACATAAGAGGAGATTAAGTTGTTGGGCAGGCATTAGCTATTTTTCTTCCAGAATTCTCTGGATTTCACACATCAGGCACACTCACCAAATCAGCTACTCTCCAGAACTGCTTGTACCTCTAAATGAAGGATATCACCATGGTCAGGGTAAAGTGTACTTTTACCACCAGGTATGTTGAGACACACAGGCCCATTGGAGGGTTCACTATTCTTTACAAGCAACTCCTGTCTCAGACCTGACAAACTCACTATCCAGAAAGGGTAGCATGATGGGGTTCATCTGGCCTTCACAACCCATGCTGAAGGCCCTGCTGCTCTACTACATCCTGCCCCAGGAAACAGCTTTCTGAGAGGAAAAGAGCAGTGAGTATTAGACCTGTAGGCCTTGCCTAAAAAAGCATCTCAGGAGCATCCATTTGGGGCTGATAATCAGCAACAGTCAATCAAGGCGCAACAGGCTGAAATAAAAGTTTCTGTCTGCCACTAGCAAGGCAGTACCTGGATGGAGCCTGGAGAGTGAGGAGAAATGCTCTGTAGGCCATACCCAGAAGAACTAGGTGAGGGCATATTGATGGCCACAAACAGCAACAGGAGTTTAGGAGGAATCCTGCTGATTTAATTTGGGAGAGAGAATTAAAGCCCCAGAAAGGTAAGAAACCATTTTATTTATAATTGGCCTTGAGGGTCAAGAAAGTTCTTCTCTTTTAATCTGTTGTATCCTGGAAGGGGTTTGAACTGTGTGACCTGGCTGGAGGGTTGAGCCACAGAAGACCCACAGAGCTGGGATGACAGCCTGCAGGAGGTGCTAGGAACTGAAAAGAGAAGCAGCACCACACCTGGATTCCGGGGGTGCTCAAAGAGGTGAGTGCAACAGATAGCATGTGAGGCCTCTGATGGAAGCTTATAACTTATTCAGATATTTAGAATCACTGTGAGATGTGTGTATGGATAATATTTAAGTTGAAATATGATATTTGATATAATATTAAATATGGTAAATGATAATATGTTAATAACTATGCCCTGATGGTACTGGAGTGAAAGTTAGTCCCTGGGGAATCCTATGTCTCAGTGATGGCCCATTCAAGTGGAGGGAGTTGTTACCCTTCACTGGCTAGCTGGTTATGTAATGTATTGCACAAACTATCTACCTTTGTACCAACCCAGAAAAGTCAATGTAAGACCCAGAAAAGTCAATGTAAAACCATCAAAGACAAACTAAGAATACCCACTTCCGCAGGTGGGTATTCTTACAACTACAATACCCACCTGCAGAAGTGAAGAAACAGATTGATAGAGCCAGAAGAGTTCCCAGAAGTCACCTACTACAGGACAAGCCTAAACAAAGAAAATAACAGAACGCCACTAGCCGTCAACTTCAGCCCCAAGCTAAAGCCCCTCCAACGCATTATTAAGGATCTACAACCTATCCTGAAGGATGACCCAACACTCTCACAAATCTTGGGAGACAGGCCAGTCCTTGCCTACAGACAGCCCCCCAACCTGAAGCAAATACTCACCAGCAACCACATACCACACAACAGAACCACTAACCCAGGAACCTATCCTTGCAACAAAGCCCGTTGCCAACTGTGCCCACATATCTATTCAGGGGACACCATCACAGGGCCTAATAACATCAGCCACACTATCAGAGGCTCGTTCACCTGCACATCCACCAATGTGATATATGCCATCATGTGCCAGCAATGCCCCTCTGCCATGTACATTGGTCAAACTGGACAGTCTCTACGTAAAAGAATAAATGGGCAGAAATCAGATGTCGAGAATTATAACATTCATAAATCAGTTGGAGAACACTTCAATCTCTCTGGTCACGTGATTACAGACATGAAAGTTGCGATATTACAACAAAAAAACTTCAAAACCAGACTCTAACGAGAGACTGTTGAATTGGAATTCATTTGCAAATTGGATACAATTAACTTAGGCTTGAATAGAGACTGGGAGTGGCTAAGTCATTATGCAAGGTAACCTATTTCCCCTTGTTTTTTCCTACCCCCCCCAGACGTTCTTGTTAAACCCTGGATTTGTGCTGGAAATGGCCCAACTTGATTATCATACACATTGTAAGGAGAGTGATCACTTTAGATAAGCTATTACCAACAGGAGAGTGGATTTGTGTGTTGCGGGGGGGGGGGGGGAAGGGGAGGGTAGAAAACCTGGATTTGTGCTGGAAATGGCCCACCTTGATTATCATACACATTGTGAGGATAGTGATCACTTTAGATAAGCTATTACCAGCAGGAGAGTGAGGTGAAGGGAGAGAAAACCTTTTGTAGTGGTAAACACCCATTTTTTCATGCTTTGTGTGTATAAAAAGATCTTCTATACTTTCCACAGTATGCATCCGATGAAGTGAGCTGTAGCTCACGAAAGCTTACGCTCAAATAAATTGGTTAGTCTCTAAGGTGCCACGAGTACTCCTTTTCTTTTTGCTTCTATTTAAATCTCTATTCTTTCTTAAATAAATTTCCTTTTCTTTTGTTATAATCAAACTCAAGTATTGTGTGTGATACAGGAGCAGCAGGCTAAGGTAAAGCTAGTAAAATGGGGTACCCTGTATCTTTGAGGATAAAGTATCTGGGATTTCTGTTGATATCTACTGACTGGGGGCTTGATACCGCAAGGGGACACTTTGAAGGGACTTGCAGGCTGGAATACATCTACTGTCAACCTGCAAAGGCAGGGCTGGCATAACCCAGAGAAGAGTGCTTAAGTGGCTGACAGACTGGTTGTTTAGGGAAGTAACACCAGCTGGCACATGCAAGACCCCCCTCATGCTGAAGGCAGATGGCAACCAGATGATCCACAGCCTTGGGTGCTCTGAGGAGCATCACGCATGCTTTATCGTAGGTGGACTTCCCTGGGAGGAAGAAAGTGGGTCTGAATGTAGTGTTCAATACTAGAAAGAGATCCTCTTTATTTGGTGATTCAGTTCCAAGTGCCTCTGCATAATAAAACCTGGGTTTCTGTAGCAGGACTCATGCCTGGGAAGCTAAATCACTAAAAGGTAAGTCCCCAATACCACATCTTCCTTTCCCAACAGAAACTGAACAACACTTAAACAATGTTTATATAATGCCCAGCTCCAAATACTAACAGCCAACCTACTGACTACATTTGCCAACAATGTTAAATGAATCCTAGGTGCTCTGCACTTTGCTTGAATTTGCAGATTCCCCTTGAAATATTAGTATTACTATTGTTGGATGGTTCTGAAAAATTGGAAAATAAAATGCCAAAAAACTTCAGTGAATCAAAACTGTTGACAAAGGATGTTTCAAATTGAACAGGAGCCAATGAGGCTAGATTCAGAAAATGCCTGGAAGAGGAAGGTGAGATGGCGGTGGTGCCAATGTCACCTCCCTTATAACCTTTAGCCTAGTGGTTAGAGCACTCACCATAAATAACATGGCAAATAGGTGAAGACATAACAAATATCAAATATCTTGTAAATCAACCATTGACTGAAATACATTGTAGGGCATAATACACTGACCACGTAAATGGTTTGCTACTGTTAGCTCACCCTGCTCTGGTTGTATGAACCCAAGTTTTTCCATGTATTGTCCAACACCGAAGAAGAAAATATGGAGTGACAACATAAAACAATTGTCTTGCTTCCAATATGGGTTGGGGGCAGATTAGTGGTCAGGGTTTCCCCTCAGCCTTAGGATTTCCACAGGACCTCCCAACTACTCACAGTCATCCGTGGCAGTGCCTGCAACGTGGATTGTAATTACAGTAGAGTGTTTCCTAGCCTGTTCCTGGGCTCAAGCTTCTAAATGGAACTGAAGCCCTCATCTATATCCCTGACGTGGTAATTTTCAGATGCAGTCACCTGATGCTGCTTAGCTGGGTTTGATTATTCCCATCACCTGCTTTCTGGAATCCTTTCACCAGAACAGGGCTGGCTGTTCACTGCCTACCCTGCCCAGCCCTTAAGGAACAGGCCACACTGTTGCAGAGGAGAAGGGGTGGGGGAGGAGGTCAGGAGATCAGGTCCCAGCAACTATACTCGGACCAAGTTAAAGATGTAGAGTGCTGAGGGCAGCCCTCCCCTAGGTGGTGTGGATAACAGAAGGATAATCGGCAGTGAATGAGTTACTGCTGGACAGTTCCTAGATGTTACTTAATAAATGTGTGGCCTAGTTAAACCACATTCCTAGTCTTCTGGCCTCCTCCCTGCGGTGTCTGGGACAAAATTCTAACTTCACCATCATTAAGGAATGTAATGTTGTTTTGAGCAACATATTAAGAACAGCTTTTCTTGGTGCATGTTACTTGTATCTTCTTTTTTTGTGAGGACAGTGGTTATGGAGAAAAGAAAGTTGGGGGCAGAGGCAGTCAGAAACTGTTATATTCGCACTTTTTGATGTCAGAAGATGCTGCTTATGGAGTTCTGCTGTTGCAAACATTTTCTTTTACTTTTATTTCATGGTGATGAAAATGAAATATTATTTCACCTTGAAAGCTTTATTTCTGAAATGGGATTTCAACCAAAGTGCATTTGTCCAGAAACTACCAAACCTTGAGATGAATAAAAGGTTTGACAGCTGAAAGTTGATAAGCTCTGGAGTCCTATTTTCCTGCATTCGTCCCTACTGTCTTCTGTTGTATGAGCAGGTTAAACAGGGAATGGTTATTATTATTACACTGATAATGTGGTCCTCAGAGTCACAAATAACGGAATATATATATATATATATATATATATATATATATATATATTTGTTTGGAAGGGCTTAAAATACAGTTATAAAAAAATGCACTACCAGTCAGCCTACAGGGCTACTTGGACCATTTCAAATTATCTCAAAAATATATTTTTAATGACTTTCTCTAGCTTGGAAGGAAAAGAAATTGATAAAATGTCTCTTCCATCTGACAAGTTCTTATAGCAGCCCCTACAGCAGAAAACAAAACTTTAAAGAAATATACTATGTTTTATAATTTATTAACTTAGGGCTTGCTTACAGTGTATACTAAATCTTTAGTGTAACCTATGCTTTAGTAATACCAACAGTTATGCAAAATTTGTCTGTTTTAATACTAGCAGTTCTTCCAGTCTATTTAACTGTAAGGAGTGAAAACTGGCTTGTCGTTTACTGGCTTGGTTGTAAAGTCAAGCAATAGTTAAGAAGTGCCAGAATTAAGGTTTCTCCATCAACCTTACTTCAGCCCCCTCCTGGATATAAATTACGATAGTCTTCAATTAGATGATCACATACTATATTTTTCCCCACAGACGCTAGAGCGTCTCAGAATAACAATTGTAAGAATTTTTTAACATGGTCAACCAATCTATTTTTTCTAGGGCTGTAGATTAATCATAGTTAACTCATGTGATTAACTAAAAAAAATTGCTATTAAAAGAATTAATTGTGCTCAGTCGCAGTTTTAATCGTACTGTTAAACAATAGAATACCAACTGAAATATTAAATATTTTTGGATGTTTTTCTGTATTTTCAGATATATTGATTTCAATTACAACACAGAATACAAAGTGCTCACTTTATACTACTTTTGATTACAAATATTTGCACTATAAAAATGATGAACAAAAGAAATAGTATTTTTCAATTCACCTAATACAAATGCTGTAGTGCAATCTCTTTATCATGAAAGTTGAACTTACAAATGTAAATTTATGTAGAAAAAATAACTGCATTCAAAAATACAACAATGTAAAACTTTAAAAGCCTACAAGTACACTCAGTCCTACTTCTTGTTCAGCCAATTGCTCAGATAAACAAGTTTGTTTACAGTCGCAGGACATAATGCTGCCTGCTTCTTGTTTACAATGTCACCTGAAAATGAGAACAGGTGTTTGCAT